ATGCAATTCCGATTTATTAAACACGTCCAGCTGCGGGACCGCGATGACGGATCCCCTCGCGTGATTCGGAAAAATGATCGGCCCGTGATCTCAGGGGCACGATGCACCTTCCAATCTGATATTGCACCAGCTTACAGACTTTTCTGTTCAATCGGTATAACGGTCTACTTTCCCAAATCACTTTCTGTTCATTGGAAATTGCAACTGGGACTGCCACTGTTCCTTTGAAAATTCACTTATGCAGCTTCTCCTTTGGAAATATGGTCTGATCATTGGCTGTGCACACAGATTCAATGGATGGATACGAACATGCCCCAATTTCCTTATTAGCATCCCTTCTACCGTCTTTGTCTTTCGTTTATTCCTTTATTTCCTTTAAATGTCAATTCTAAAATTCAAAGTTCATAGGTTGTCGCCGCTCGACAGAGATGCTTCGTGCGTTCGTTGTGTGTTTGATTTTCTGTTGATAGTTGTCTGTCCGACAGTCGACCAAGATACGCAGTCACTCTGGTCAGAATTTGTAGTACCGTTCGAAACTTTAAAGGCTATTGACACGTGCAAACCCCAAATAATATTTTACAAGTCGATTGAAATTATTTTGACCTTTCAGCCGAGCCATGCGATTTGCCATGTTCAGCGTCAAATCAGATACCTCCTGGTGGTGGTGTTGGTGGTGGAGGAGGAGGAGGAGGAGGTGGAGGTGGGGGTGGAAGCGGTGGAAGAGGATCTTCCCCCAGTGTTTCTGGCGTTGCAGCACCATCACCTTCCCCGTCGCATTCACATTCTTCCCCATACGACTTAAGACGTAAAAGTCCACCTCATCTGGATCCAGCTCCCGGTACCAGTTCAGCCTTACCCCCTTCTGGTGGTAGCAGTATCGGAGCAACTCTAGGTTCTTCCTCCTTACCAGCCAGAAAAAGACCCAGGCGGACATGTTCATTATCCACAGATGGTACGTTTACTTTGAATCGAACGTCGTTAGCGCGCGTTGTTCGCCCACAACTCTCTTAAATGCCTGTGAATTATTTCTCTTTTTAGGTACAAACACAAACACTGCAGCGCATTACCTTCAGTACGAGTTACCGGACGAAGTGCTGCTTACTATATTTAATTATCTAATGGAACAAGATCTGTGTAGAGTTTCTCAAGTTTGCAAACGTTTTCAAGCAATCGCGAATGATACTGAATTATGGAAGTCCCTGTACCAACAAGTCTACGAATACGACTTGCTACTATTTAATCCTGCACCATGTAAATTCGAGTTTGTATCTCCGGACGAATCAGATTACCCGAATCCGTGGAAGGAGAGCTTTAGACAATTATACAGAGGAGTACACGTCAGGCCAGGATTTCAGGATCTGAAGTTCCAAGGACGGAATTTGCCATACTTTAATACTGTTCAGGGAGCGTTAGATTACGTAGACGAATATAGAAGCAATAGCGGTTCCTCGTCGAACAATAGCACAAGCACAACCGGTCAAGGGAACTGCTGCGGGAGCAATTCCCAATCGGCGGAGGAGGCACCTCAACATTTAGTTTTCATACACGCTGGTATCTACAGGGGCGAATTTCTCGTGATAGACAGCGATGTTGCATTAATAGGAGCGGCACCCGGAAACGTGGCGGAGTCTGTTATATTGGAGCGAGAAAGTGAATCTACAGTTATGTTTGTAGAAGGAGCGAAACGAGCTTACGCCGGCTATCTCACGTTAAAGTTTACCCCAGATGTTACTAGTACAGTGCCGCACCATAAACATTACTGTTTAGAAGTCGGCGAGAACTGCAGTCCCACCGTGGATCATTGCATTATTAGGAGTTCAAGTGTCGGTAAGTCACTGTCAGGCAACGTTCAAATTAACAACAGTACCCGAGGAATCCCAGTCTAACGCACTCTCTCGACACATATTTGCTTCCTATTACGAATTTTCGGAAGATCTCTCTCGAAAGTAAACGAGAGCGAAGGTAACGAATTTCTTAAGACGATCGGTAACTTTTCAACACTCGATCCGTGTTCTCGTAGCTTTCTAATTCTTTACTCCACGAGTTTCCTAACGTCTCTTTCGAACACTGCAAAACTATTTTCCTGGTAACTTTCAATTGCAAATACATAATATATATATATATATATATATATATAT